TGGGGGGGGGGCGGCAGGGACGCACCGGTGGCCCCACTCGAATGCACCCTCCGCTGCTCTGCCTGTGGCCACAGCTGCCCACTGGGGCTCGGGCTGCATCGCGGACTTCACCGTCACGGCCACATTTCTGCTCTGGGTCACGTGCGATCCCCCGCAACAGGAGACTGGGCTCGGGTATCGGTAGGCGAGGCAGCCCGGGGTCATCAAGATTCAGCTGCTACTTTGACAGCGGGTTTCCCTCCTTTCCCCAAGCCCAAGGCGGACCTTCAGGCCGCCGGGCCCCCAGCGTTTTCTTGTACCGAAGGCAGTCAGCCTTCCAAACCTGGCTGACCACCTGCGGTGCATGACAACAGAGGCCCCGCCCCCGACCCGGGCGTTCAGCCCAAGGGCGCCCTCTGCCCGCTTCGCACCCACTGCCAGCTTCAGGGGGCTCATCTGCCTATTTATCTTGACCCCACCCCCACTCGAGCATCAGCCCCCCGAATCTCCATGGCACGAACCAGGCCTGGGCATGCAGCTGACTCAGCGAGCAAGGAAAGGGACAGGAGGCAAAACAGGGAGAGGCCACATCATCCAAATGGCTAGCGGACACCGAAAGTCACCACTGACGCAGAGGCAGGCACTGTAGCACCTGGACCGTGGAATGCACACGACTGTGCCCTAGAAAGTCGGGGCAAGTGCAACGGCCCCTCCGGCTCATGGGCTCAGCGAGGCGGCCAGACAGGAAACACAGGGAAATCAGGAGTCTGCTTATGTCTTACCAGTTAGAGGGCGTAATTAATGTATCCCCTACCCCTGCAAAATTAGTGCCACAATTCACCAAAGATTATAAACTAACGCAATATATTAACAAGACATCTGCAGGAGCCAAGTGAAGAAAAGTGGGCAACTTGGCTAAGCGATATAAAATAAATTTGAGTAAAATGGGAAAGAATTGTTTCCCATGAGAGGAAACTCCTCTCACCACTGACAGGGCAGAAGCAGGGACAATGGCAGGCGCGTGAGGTTATTTTTAGGGGAAGGAGAAGATTTCACAGATACTCTGCAGTTTACTGGGAAGAGCATGAGTGTGGCCACGGCCACGAACACCTGGAGGGTCAGGCAGGAACATGGAGCCGTGCCATGCCACCGGACAGAAATGAAGTCACAACCGAAGACAGCGGTGAGTGCACATCGGGTTGGACAACGCAGGCAGAGCAGACCTAGCAGGTCAGCGGCACGGACTCCTGAGCCCAGAAACACGGCTGATTTAATGCGTTTGTTGTACAATAAAGGGAACCAACAGAACCAACAGGGAAAGGAAACATTCAACAGAGGACAATTAGTTACCTATTTGAGTTAAGTTTAATTAGCTGTCCTACAGCATAAAATAGACTCAAACAAATCAAAGGTGGATTGGCGGGTTAAAAAAAAAAAAGAACAAAAACGACAAACATCTGGAGGGTATAGAGTCGTTCATTATACTATTATTTCAACTCTTCAGAATGTTTGAAAACTTTCATAATAAAAAGTTAGAATTGTCTAAAAAAGAAAAAAATAAAATGGTAAAACTCAGGAATACTTATATATGAATTATCTGATTTCAAGACTATTAAAGGCTTTCTAGATGTCTCAAGTAGGAATCACAGAAGTAAAAAACATAATTTGATTATATATTAAAGGGGAAAAAACGCTATATGAAAATAAGACCATATGGCATAAAAAACGGAATAAGAAATTGGGGAAATACCTGCAAAGTAAGTTATAAAGTGTTGATAATATCCCCAATACACAAAGAGTTCTTACCCTTCAATAAGGAAAAACAGGTACCTGGAGCAAGAGGTGGGCAAAGGACGCCTTCAAACTGTAACACAAGTAACGTGTACGACCAGTGAACACGCGTGATGTTCAGCCTCACTGCTAACTGAGGAAACCCAAGTAAACAAAGCATGCGGTATTTTTAATTCCTTACTGGATGAGCACAGAGTCCAAAAATGATGCTCAAATAGAAACGCCATCAAGTGTGTGTGAGGGGCGGTCAAAGGGCACTCCCTTCATGGAGGGAGGACTATTGTGCACAAAACATTCTAGAATTCTAGACATTCAGCTGGTAATACGGATCAAGAGTCTTAAAAAATGCTACACGGATAAAACGCTTTAACTATATTTAAGAAAACGTATAGTACATCTATATTTTAAATTCCTCTGCACCCCCAAATGTAATCTTTGGTCGCTTGATCCTACATGTGAGTCTTAACATTTTCTCTGCCTTTTGAAGGCTGCTGGACGCTGAGCGCGAGATGATGAAATGTGCCGGTCCCTGCGCTGGGACCGCTGCTGCCGCGCTCAACTCATCACCGGGTACGTTCTAGTGAGTGGTGCCTCTATGTGACTTCTTGATCAGTATCTGCATTCAGAGACATGATAATGAAATGCAAAGTATACTCTTGGATCAAGAGTCTTATAAATGTTCATACCCAGGGACGGAGCCATTTCACGTATGCACTTTTAAGACAATAATAAGTGTCACGCAGAAAGATTTAGGTACGTGCATGTACCGGGTCTATGTGAATGGAAAGTTCCTGGAAGGAGAGGCACTAAGCGATCTAAGCACCAAGAGAAGAGAGTGAGTGAAAGCAAAGCAAACACAGAAAGCACCAGCCCCTCGCCGTTAACCCGGGTCTCCAGCAGAGCCGTGGGGTATGCACGAGCGGGAGGGAAGGAGCAGGGTCAGCCCTGTGTTAGTTCTTTGGCAAACAGCTCTCAAATAACAAAAATAACTAACACCTACTTTTAGCTAAAGTCCATCCCTTAAAAATAACATGAATTTACTTCTAATTTGCCGTGTTGGAACTTGTCGCGTGCGAGAACACTCTCTGAGCAATAGAAGGGAGGGCTGCCCTTCCCGGACACCAGCCGATGACATCACCCGCACGCTTAGCCGAGGGGGCCATGTCCCTGCACCGCCACAGCGACCAGGAGGCACTGGGTCCCCTCAAGTGGTACCTGCTCCTGTGGACGACCCACCCCCACGCCCACGCGAGCCAGAGAAGAGGGAGAACCGGGCAGCCCCCTGCGTGGGGAGGGATCTGACTCAGGGCAGAGAAGGCGCTGTGCCAGACTGAGGGCGCGACCCGGGGGAGGGGTTTCGGCTGCGCCCCACACCCGCCATTCGCCCGACAGCAGGAGTCGAAAGAGAATGGCCGACAGACGACGGACACAAGCCCTGTCCCTCGGCGGGGGCCTGGGACCTGGCCGACCCCATGGGACGTGACAGGGGCCACGTGGTCTCCGTGCCCAGACGGCCCCACCCTCGAGCTGCCACACTGGTTTGTCTACTCGTCCCTTCCCTGCCAGAGGGTGTGATGCTGGAGGCCAGGGATCACCTCTTGTTCCCGTGTACCCGGGGCCCAGGCCCGTGCCGCGCATGCACGCGCGCACACACACACTCACACTCTCTCTCTCTCTCTCTCTCTCTCTCTCTCTCAAAACTCCGTCCCCGTTTCCTGACTTGAATAAATAAGGGAGCAGATGTGACGAGATGGGTTAGGAGGAGAAGCGGAAGCCAGCTGGTCAGACGTGTTGCCCACACGTTCTAGAGCTCAGGACTCCTCCCTGCGCCCAATTCCTGGCCTAGACTCCGTGCTCAGTAAACATTCCCGAGTAAATAAGTACAAAGTAACATAGGCATTGGCTTTGTATTCACCACAGTTAGTTTTCTCTCCGGCACTTCTTTCCTCTCTTCCTATCCCACCGCCTTAGCGCGTCATCCTGGAAAGGGAAACGTCACATGTGTCTTTGGCGGGGGGCCGGCAGGTCATATGAGCCCAGGCCAAACAAGCGTCTGTCCCCTTTCTGGAATGAACCGATGTCTCTGTGAGCAGAAAGTCCCCATTTACTTTGATGAGTAGTAACTGCTGACATCTGTGTAGGACTTTAGGAGTTTCCTGGCACTTTTGCACGTCACCTCTTCTGCCAACACATCGGTGACAGGCTCAGACCAGACCAGGTCAGCCCAGTTGGGAGGTGATGCACGGGCAGCGACCTGCCCGAGTCCCCCTGGCATTAGGCGGCAGAGCCCCAGCTCACGGGCCCCAAACCCTCGCTCCTTTTCACGGCCCCGCTTTCACCAGTCAGTGCTGCGCAAGCTGCAGACCGGCGGGGTCAGCCCCCGCCCCGCCCTTTCAGAGCACTTCTCATTCCAGAAAGGGGGAGGCGGCTCTTCAAGAGGCAGAGACACAGGCAGAAGCCACGGCCCAGCAGAAGTTTATCCTGAGGAGACTGGAGAGGGCGGAGAGAAGAAAGGGGCTTCCGGCGGGACGCAGGCGGATGCAGAGAGGCTGCCCATGCCGCTGCGGCTGGAGGATGAGGGGGGGCCCCCGAGCAGCGCACCCCTCCCCATGGAACCTTGCAGCCAGAGCGTCGACACCGGTGAGGACTCTCAGCCCAAACTGAGCCGTGACGTCCGAACAGCTTGCAAGAGCCAGGAACTTCCTAACACCTCGACTTATGAGAAAATACTGACTTTCTCTGGCACTGCATTAAAAAGCAAATTCTCCCTTAAGAGCGAGCCAAGGAAACCAACGCTGTGGTAGAGAACCACCTCACGGTTGCGACAGAGGGCTGAGAGGGTTTAAACCTTACGCGGCCCAACGGTTTCCTTTAAACCTTGCTCCAAACGGCCTCTTCGCTTTTACGCGCTTGGCCCGTACAAGCCAGTGAGCATGCAGCCTCGACGCTCGGGCAGCGCTGCCACGTGTGCCCTCCCGCAGGCGGAACGCCGCGCCTGCAGCCACCCGGCCCGGGCAGCCCCGTAGTCTGTCTGTGCAGCGGGGACTGAGGGTGCCACTCCGGCCAGCGAGCTGGCAGTCACAGAGGCCACAGCGTGCAGGGAGGGATCAGAGGAAGAGATGAGGCCCCTGAGCCTCCGTCCACAGTGCAACGGTCACCGCCCCCGTGAGCCCCAGCCAGGGCCTCCGGCCGCCGCCCAGGGCGCTCGGGCACGCCTGCCGTGAGCTTACCGGAGTTCGGCGAGATGTGTAAGCTGCTCATGCCCTTGGACAGGCCGTTGGCTTTGGGGCTGGAGGCAGGCGCGCAGGCCGACGTGGCTCGGGGCGGCCTCTTCCCGGGGACTTTCACAGTGGTTCTCAGGAGGTCGATCTCTTTGCCGTGCACGTTCTGCATGTAATCCTGCGCAAACGTTAAACACCCAAGAGAAGTTAAAGGCAGGCTTTTCGGCACCCGGGACGAGACGCTCTTCTAGGCACCAGGCACTGCAATCCCACGCCCCCCCCCCCGCCCCCGGGGCCAGCGCTGCGGAAACAGCGAGGCCTTGACCTAGCACAGCGACGTCACCGTTCTATTGCCACCTGAGCCCGGCCTCCGAGTCCCGCGCCAGTCCAGGCCCTGGTGAGACAAGGAGACCAGATAGATGTCGCCACCCCAGGGGACGAGGACCAGCTGGAGAAAACAAGCAGGGACAGAAGTGGCCTTGCTTGAACCACCGCTTACTGGCCGGCACACTGGGGAGCTGGGCTCTTCCCCGAAGCTGCGCATCCACGCCCACTGAGCAGGGGGCAGGAACGGTTTGGCACGACCGCTGCGTCTCAGACCGCGGTGTCTGTACTGTCAAGATCGGGCTGCAGCTGCCTGGAAGGAGTGTGGGCGAGGGCCCTCAGCAGCAGTCAAGCCTCTCCTGCAGGACCGGGGAGCAGGGCCAGGCCTTGCTGGTGCGGTGTTTAAACACCGGGAAGATCACGGATAGTGAGGGGTTAAAAAGGGAGGTGCCCTGTGTGGCGCTCAAGTGTTCGATGTCTCCACATGGCTCCCTGTCCGCCCACGAGTGCCCTGCTGTTCTCTCCACGGCGGAGGGGAAGGACCAGCAGGTGTATCAGGGAAGTGCAGGGAAACTCAGGGAGTAGACTTGCCCCTGGTCTCTGTAGACATGTCAATCAACACTGCACACCAGGAATGGACACATTCTAACCTAAACCACTCCTGGGTAAGTAACATTTCAAATGTAAGCGGAAATGAAACAAACAGATTCTGTCCTTGCAGAATCTTGGTGGGTGCCTTTCAGGGGGGAAAAAAAAAAAGGACATCCCATTAATTTGTGTTTAGTATAAGCAATTAAGTTCAGGTCAGCATCGTTTTTAAAGAACTACCAATACGCTGCCTTGCGGGTTGCAAGGGACCCAGGGCGGCTGGAAAGTGGGCTGTTTGCTTACAACTGCCAACTCGCGGCCAACCGATGCAGAGAACTACGTAAGTTCTAGAGGCCAAGTGCCCCCGTGGAGCCCCAGCTTGTGGGAGGAGGGAAGTCAGCCGAGGAGGCTCGAGGACACTTCGGGGGCCCGGAGCGGGCAGGAAGCCAAGAGGGACCGGAACGGCTCCGGGAAGAAGGGGGTGGGTGTTTGAGGTACAGGACGCTTTGAGCGTCACGGTTCCGGTGGCCAAAAGGGCCGGGAAGCTGTCATTGGGTTCTTGATGGACGTTGCTGATGGGAATGATACAAAAAGAATCCCAAAGTATGTGCTTCCAACACGGGGGAAGGAGCCTGAACATGAGGCCTTGGGGCAGAGTGTGGAAGAGCTGCCCCCTGTCTGCCATGGTTGGCGGGGGGCAGCCTCAGGGTCCACAGGGGACACCTCACCCCACAACCCAAGCAGTTGGAGGTGGGGCTGCCCAGGAGCCCAGGCTCCGGGGAGGGTGGACGGGTTCTTGACGGAGGGAGGAGGGCAGGACAGGAAACCGAGTCACACGAGGGCGCGGACTTGGGGAAGGCGTTCCTGTGGAGAGTACAGAGCCCTGGAAGGTCCACCCAGCACCGGCCCGGGGGAGCAAAGCTCCAGGGTCCCCGGTGACTTCCTGAGGCCAGACCTCCAACGGCCAATTCTTCACGCGGAACAGCAGCTCAAGGAGCCGAGGCCAGGAGCAGCACGGGGCAGGAGACAAACGGGGAAGGGACCAGAGCGCGGGCGGGCGAGCGCGGGCGAGCGCGGGCGGGCTCTTCGGGGGGAGCGAGCGGGGCCTCCCTTGGCGGCGTCAGCCATGCCTGCCCTGAGCTGGCCGAGCTGCGCACCTCATCTCCCAAGGGTGGCTCAGGGAGGGTCACCCCGATGCCCCCCGGGCAGGCTGCCTGCGGAGGAAGGGGGCGGGCCGCGGCCAGGCTTGGGGAGTTGTGGGTTCGGCACAGAGGCGGCTGGGTCCAGCTGGGAACAGACCAAAGACTTCACATGGAAATCAAGACGCCTGGAAAACTCCCTCAAACATAATCAACTACGGAAAGAGCGGTGGTTTGGAAAGGATATGGACTGAAGATGTAAAAGAAGTTGTTATCCTTCAATCAGATGGCAGGGCGAGGCGGGCTGGAAGAGGCGCGGGCAGACCCCGGACTGAGCTCACTGTGCTGGGGGCAGGGAGGAGGAGCACAGCAAAGTAGCGAGCAGCCTTCGCGTAACGCAGGCCCCACAGCACGGCCATTAACAAGGCCACCGCCAGCGCCCTCCATTTACTCCCATTCACACGTGCCGCCAACGGGCAAAGCCACGTCTCAGCACCGAAGTTAAGGCTTGTAAGCAACGAATTCCTCCTCGTGCAGTTACTCCTTTAAAAATATCAACCTGCTATAACTTTCTTCTTTAATGCCGATTCTTCACAAATTAAAACACAGTAACAAGAATGTAATTGAGCATTTATCGCTTATGAGCTCCGCAACGGGGCTGACCAGATGGTGGCCAAGCCTCAGCACGCGGTCCTTCCACAGGCGCGCTCCAGCGCGCGGTAACCAGGACGTTTCACTTAAAGTTACCAGGGAGACCTGCCCAGGGTCTGATCCTGGATCTGGACGCGCCCGGGGGACACATTTCTCTGCCCAGCGCAGCGCTGGCCAGGCCGGGGAACCTGCTACTCTTGTCTGAGTTATTTGGACGCTGAAACATCACAAGAACTAGCTGTTAAAAAAAAAAAAAATTCAGAATATAAATTTGGCCATTTTCGTATCTCAAGCCACTGCGATTTGTAAAAACTTCACAGAAGGCACGTCCTGCGCGCCGAAAGCCCTTCACAAAGCACCTCCGCGAAGGCGGTGCTGTGGGAACAGGTGGCAGGCAGGGACACTGGCGCCTGCGGCTTCTGGCTTCTCCCAGGAGGAGCGACGTCAAGTCTCCTGTTTTTGAAAGAACTCATCCTTCTCATCCTGCCCGGGCCGGTGTGGGAGGAACTAAAGCGACAACCACTCAGCCCCGTCGTCCCTCAGAAGTGGGCTGTACAGCGCTGGGTCTGAGGCAGGGACCTCCCCGGGTAAAATAAAGACAGCAAGCTCGATTTTGATATGCAAATGTGACAGATACTACCCTTCTCCTGGTCCTGGTAGAAAATGCTGATCGAAGATAAAAGGGGAAAAAACCCTTTAACAAGGCTTGAGGGTAATTCAAAGCCAAGTACTTTTAAACGGCACTTAACAAGTCCCTGGGGCCCACTCAAGAGCCAGGCCCCCCAGAGGTGGTATCTCCTGCCCCTCAACAGCTTGAAAAAGTAGTAATTGCAACCCTATTTGCATTTTTCTTCTCAAGTTGTCCATGCTCATCACAGGGATTATTTCTTCCATGCCAGCGCTGGAGCGGAGGGACCGGTCCAGCCCGGACGTGTGGATGCTCCGCCGCCGCTGCCGCCCGCGGTCCCGCTGCGCCCGGCCCCGCACCTTCGCCATCGCTTGTTTTTTTGCATTTCGCTCCTAATTATGTTGCATCTATTGCCGTACACTTAATTAGCTGCATTAATGTGATTTCTTTTCACATAGTCAAGCAATTAAGAGCTATGATTGAGTTTCATTCAATTAGCCTCAACAAACATGCTAATTGATGTCCCAGATGCAAATGAGCTGCAGTGAGAGACACCGGTGAGCGGGCGGGAGCCCGGCAGAGACCCACCGCGTTGGGCTCCACGCCGCCTTCCGCGGGGCCGCTGCCCAGGGCCGTGCAGTCATTAGTGCCTCCGTGCCCCCGGCCCCCCCCCCTTGGACGCGGAGAATTAATTGACTGGCTGCTGCACAATGCTGCCCTAATGCCTCACAGTTACGCGTTATGAGGACCGGAGGTTGTCAACTGGATGCCACCGTGCTCCGGCGGGAGAGGCACCAGGTCCGCACTGCAACACCGCAGGAGGCTGCTGAGAAAATACAAAACAACAAACGCAGGCGCCCTCCCCAGCGGGGAAGATGCTGATGTCCTGCCTCGGGGGTCCCAGGGCCCTCGACGTGCTATGGCCTGTATAGTTCTCAGTAAATGGTGAGTTCATCTTAGTCAGCTCTGGGGCATCTGGCTCTTGAAGTTCAGCTCGAAACACAGCAATCCATCAACAGTCCCTAAAAATACTCCCGCCGTATTGATTCTCGCCGCCTCCCGTCCGGACGTTACCTTTGGCTGTCTGGAGAGAGATGGCTTGCCCGGTGTGTGGGCAGAGCTCCCGAAGCAGGTAACCAGGTCTTAAAGCTTCACCGAAAGGCCCGGATGCTGTGGCCGGCACCTCGAAGTCAGACGTGCTTGGGAAGCCTACCCTCCTCGAGTACAGAGGGTGCACTTGGCGTCACTCCGGTGCCGCACGTACTTCTAGAAAGTGTGAAGGTGCTTCATTTTCATAATTAAATGGTGGAAAAAACAATGGAAATCTTTGTTCCAGTTAGGTTTTCTCCATATGTTCTGATGTCTACCTGTACCTAAGTGTCAGGAAATTGAGTATTTTACACTCATGGGTAATATTTTTGTCCAAGTTTATATAACTTTGGACACATGGATATTTGTTTTGGTCTTTGTGCCACAGTCAACCTAACTGGGATTTTCCCTCTTTGCACGATCAAGCTCAGGGGTCCTCGAACTGTGGTCCTGGACGCCCTATCGGCAGGGGTTGGGGAGGTCACACGTTCAACACAGTTTTAAAAACAATTCCAAGACACTGCCTGCCTTTCCGCCGTGCTGAGCTCTGCTGCGAGGTGCAGGCGTGAAGGGCACTGGCGCTGCGGGCCCGCCGGCACGAGTCCTGGCGGCCACAGCCACAGCCATTGCGACGCTCTCCAACGACCACCAGAGCCACCTCGCTTCCAAGTGTTCTTAGGAGCCAGCCCCATGGAAGCTGATCTAAAAAATTTCAGCCCTTGAGGACGTCTCTCCTTAGTGTTCCGGGAGGTGACCCGA